CCCCTTAAAGCCCTTAAACACCTGGCTTTGTTATACATGAAACAGTCCGTGGCATCTGGGGGTCACGCTGAATGATAAAGCACCCATCTGTAAGCACCAACCCTCAGAGGCCAGGGGCGGGGGGGGTGGGGGGTGCTGTGAAGGGCACAGGTGTCTCGAGACCATGAGAGCCATGGCAGCAAGTCCATGGCTCCCACCCAGGCTCACCCTGGGGCAGGCGCCCACATGGAAGGGCAGCTGGACCCACAGCACCTAAACTGCTTTCCCAGCATGCTTGCCCTGCGCCTGTGGGATTTGAATTCACATGAGGGCAAGTTTGCCTGTGATGCTGACTCCTGCATTTCCTCTCGCTGCGCCTCAAGATTTAAAGGATTTTATTGGTCAAACAGCACTGCCTTTTACCAAGTCATCATTTATGAAGTGTACCTTTCTCCCTAGTTCACGTGCTGCCGAGTCATACACATCTAGCAGTTAGAGCTTCTGAATAACATGACAAATAGGGTTCCCACCCTGCAGTGGTTTAATGGCTCCAAAACCCAAGACACTTGCCCCTGAGCCAGGCGTTGCGGAGGGGATGATTTGTGAGGTGTTACTTGAAATCCTGAAAATGGCTTTAGGAGATTGCTAGCCTCGGGGAACCCAGTATGAAAGCCACTGACCACACTCCTCCTCCCTGAGCAGAAATCCTCCGGATCAGAGACCTTCCCTCTCAGGGCCTGAGAGCAGGGCAAGGAGGGAAGGGGAGGAATCGCCGTGTGTCAGGCCTGGCGTGAGCAGCCCTACATACGTTATTTATCATTTAATCCTCAGTCCTCTGATTTCCTGAGCAGGTCAGCATTCCTGGTCCCATTCTGCAGACACGAAAGCAAAGGCCCAGGGAGCTTACATGATTTGTCCACTGGCCCCGGGGCTAGAAGGTGGTGGAGCCAGGACCCGTGTGACCCTGCAGCCCTACCGTCACTGCCACCCTCCCCTCCGGGACCCTATGGGCTCCGTGGAATGGGGAAACCTCAGTGGGCCTTTCACCCCTGGCCCCAGGGAGAGCATGGCCTTTCCATTTAGCAGAGATCCGCCCCCTCCGTCTCCTTCATAAGTGCCTTTCGAACATCTTTTCTGAGGAACAGCCAAGCCTTTGTACCTCCACGGTCTGCAGTTTCCTCTCAATCCGCCTTGCAGAGACTACGTTCTACTCTCCTTAGAAGTAAATTAGGGCGCTGCGTGGTGATGGGCTTAGCGTCCAAAAGGCTCCGTGGGTGGGTGGAGCTAACACCCAGATCCAGGCAGCGATTGGAGGGACCATGTGTCTGTCACTTTTGTCTGGCCAATTGGCCGTGGAGGTGTGTCCCCACATTCAGTAGCCCCTGTGGCTGGTGCAGCTGGCAGTTGTTGGTCTTTTGATTTTAGCCTGGCAGTGGGCCATGACGCAGGAGGCCGTCTCTCTGGCCACTGGGAAATAAAATGGCATAAGAGGTGTGAAGACGAGCCTGAATTTTGGAGGAAAATGGATGAATGGGGCGAGGGAATTAGCATTCATTGAAAATGATGATTAAGAGTTGTGGCTCCGGATTAAGACAGACATGGGTTCAAATCCTGGTTCAGGCACTTCTATGCTGTGTGACCTAAGACAAGTGATTCCATCTCTCTGAAGCTCAATTCCCTCGCCTGAAAAAAGGGAAATGACATTACCTAAATCCAGGAGCCTTCCGAGGATTCAATGAGATTGTGTATGTTCCTTGGCACATAGTAAGAACTTCAAGGGCAGCCAGCTGCTACTCGCTGTTGCTGTTATCAGCTACCATGCACCAAGCTCTGTTCTCAGTATTTTCCATACATTATGAGAAAGGCATTTTTTTTTATACTAATTTTAAAGAAAAGGAAACTCGGATGTATGCAGTTCAAGAACTTGCCCCAGGCCACCAGCTAAGCAACTGGGATGTGATCCTCTGTCAGGCTGCAAAGCCCTCTGTCCACTCTGCACCCTGCCCTGGAGCTGACGCCTGGGCTTCCCTGTCTCCATCCACCCTCCAGCTCACATCATCTCTTTTTCTACCTGCTTCACCTTTGAGGTTGTCAGAGGCTCTTCCCAGGAGACACATCCCCTTTTATTGCACTCGTCTGGGAGCCCAGCACTCCATAAGCCACCCATTAGATGTAATCTCTAATGAATGTGGTACATAATAAATACAGGTAGCCCGTTTATGAGCTGCCATATTTATTATGCCCCTTAAATGCCAGAGAGCCAGCTGGAGCCGGATCAGACCCTGGAGAACAGCTTTGCCTGGGTAGGCAGAGGAGGGGGGCCCCAGAGCCTGGCCCCCCTGCAGACTTCCCAGCATCTCACTGGGGCCGCCCCTCCTGCCCTCTAAAAGCCCACCCAAGTCAGAGCCTGATGGCAGGAACTGACAGCCCATCAAACTCCATCTCCATCGTTTTGCAGATGAAGACACTGAGGCCAGAGAGAGGAAGCGACTTGCAGAGCTGGAGCTTGGGGCTCCAGACTCCCAGTCCAGTGCTCTTTCTGCCCTGCTGTCTGCCTGAACAGTGGTCCCTGGACCAGGTGGAGCACAGGATCTGAAGTGAGCTGAGGGGCATGCTTACAAGCTCCAGGATGTTGGGCACCTTCACCTCCCTGAGGCTCAGTGTCCTCATCTATAAAATGGGCACAGTGCTTCCTGCCTCATGCGGTTGTTGAAAGATTCAGGACAGTCACTTCATGGAGCTGGAGCGTGGCTGGCAAAGAGTCGGTACTCAATGAATGTTCTTTCCGGTCCTCCTCCCCCTTTCCAAGGATGACAGGGTCTCAGCAGATGTATGGAGTTGCATCAGCCAAGTGCCCAAGGGAGAGGGGGTCAGCATGCCGTGCCTAGGGTGCAAGTCTTTGTCCTGGGGTCCTGATCTCATGGGCAATGATAGCCCAGTGAGTCACCTATGACTGTAAAGTTAGGTGTGTTCCTAGTCAGAGCTGTTCACCCCACTCTGAGCCAGGTGCCATGGAGAGCCCTGACACAGGACGTCTCATTTAATCCTCACAACACGCCAGGATGCAGGTCCTAAATGCCCACTTTCAGATGAAGAAACTGCGGCCCAAGATGTTAAGTCACTTACCAAAGACACAGAGGTAGAGAGGTGTGACGAGCCAGGACTGGAGCCCATGCTTGGAACTGCCATGTTTAGATGCAGGTTAGTTGCTGCTTCTAGAAGGTCAGAGATGGAGGAGATAGCGGAGGGCTGGTGGCTTGGTGTGGGGACCTGTTCTGGAGGAAGAGAGCCTGGGCTTGGGCATGATGCGAGAGACAAGGATGACCCACCATCAAGGATAATGGTTTAACAACTGTTGGGCGTGGCATGGACCAAGAGATGCTAGCTAAACAGGCCTGCCATACCCATGGGTCCCCACTGAATCTCAGCCCTCCACTGGCTGCTGGGAGGATGGGGTCTGGAACAAGGGAAGGGGTAGGTCCTCCTGGGTCTGCCCATCCTCTCCCCAGGGCTGTCAGGAAGAAAGCATAGAAATATTGGACATTGTATATTGAATATGACCGTGACTTGTGCACCTTGAGGGATGACTTGCGATAGCAGATGCCATCTGCTTCCCCCGGGCATGGGGGAGGGCTACATTTTGTTTTCAAGCCCCAGTGCCTGGCATTCAGTCGTTGCACAATAAATGTTTGTTGAATAGAATTGTATTCAGTGACCCGCTACCATGGGCATACTCTTAGGTAGGGACGGGGAGACTCCAGGGGGAGGTGGGATGCTCTAAGTCTCACGATAGAGGTAGTCAGGGCCGGGGAGCATCTGGGGGCTTGGGGCCCCAGGGGGTGCCA